GACCACGGGAAGGCAATTGGAAGGGTACTTGGTTATTTAAAGAGAACCAAAAATCTTGGACTCCAATATTCTAAATTTCCAGCTATACTTGAAGGATATACCGATGCTAGTTGGATATTAAGTGCTGGTGAAAATAAATCAACATTAGGTTGGTTGTTCACTCTTGGAGGTAGTGCATTTTCTTGGAGATCAAATAAACAAACTATGATTACACATTCCACAATGGAATCCGAGTTTGTAGCATTAGCTGAAACGGGGAAAAGAAGTTGAGTGGCTTAAAGATCTTCTTTATGAAGTTCCATTAGATACGAAGAATGAGTCTTCAATATCTATACTACGTGATAGTCAAGCCACTCCAGCAAGGGCTTATAGTGAAGTCTACAACGGAAAGTCTAGACACGAGTCTTAGACATGATTATGTAAGAAAATTAATAAAAGACAGAATAATTTCACTTACATATGTAAGATCAAGTTAGAACTTGGCCGATCCACTTACAAAACCACTTACCAAAGAGTTGGTAAGACTAACATCAAGTAGGATGAGGCTTAAACTCCTTAAATAAAATTCATCAATGATGACAACTCTACCTGTTATTACGAAATAAGTAATTAACGGGTTCAAAGGGTAACAACAAGTCATTTGATAAGTGAATTGATTACAGCACTTAGTATATATAATTTAAAGCTCTATCATAAAGATATAAGTTTTGGGGTTATGGTATTGATGGTTGAATAAAACTTAAAGAAATTCAATACGTAGTATAAGTGCCTTTAAACATAACCAAGACACTGTAAGAATTTCTCCTATATGAACTTAGAAGTGGTGTCGCTTCAAGGAAAGTTGGAGTTCCTTTTTGAAAAATTCATGAATACGGATGGGTGCAAGGTCATTAACGCACCAAAGTACAATTATGTGGAACATATTGAGATAGAATGATCACGTGTGTGATATCGTGGGTAATGTCATAAGGGATAACTGGTTCAAAGCTAAGGCTACATGGAATCTCGATATTACTTTGCAATATTAGCACTAATGTAAGGTTTAAATCGAAAGATCCTTTTATCCTATGCGTGACATCGTTTATGGTTCTAAGTTGAGTTATAATATTTTAACAAGCGGAGGATTGTTATATAATTGCGTTGTTCAAATATTGGTAAATGAGAAATTGATCAAATGTGGTTGAAAATAGATTAAAAATTGAAAAAATAGTTGAACAATTTTTGGACAGTTTTGGCACATTAAACCTCAATTTCCATCTTTTTTTGTGAAAAGTTGGCACCCATGCGAAAGTGTATGAAGTAATTATATAAATAGGAATAGAATTCATGGATTAAACACACTAATTTCTCATTTTTATACTTTGAAATTATCATCCTAAAATTCTCCCAAATTATACTTAGAATTATTTTCATATTCTTTTTGTTCATTCTTTTCGAGTTTCAATAGTGCTAATTACAACCCGATTTCTTGACTTGAAATCCGCTAAAACTATTTGTGTATTGGTTCTTTAGCATTCTCATTACCGAGAGGGAGTAAATAAAGATTTTAGGATAGCATTCTATGCGATTCAAGTCTTTTTCATTCTCTTCTTATTCTTCCATCTTTGTTTTGTGTTTTGCATATATTTTTTGAGTTCCATTTGTATTATCATTGGAGGTATTGTTATCTACTTCGACGGAAATATTTATCAACAATTCATTGTATGCAAAACAACGCCCACTTAACTAAACTTAGGTTGCCAAACAAGTGAAGTAGCAGTGGTACTTATTACCGAGTCAATTAGGTTGATGAGAATAATGATTAATGTTGTGCTATATGTACATAATGATTTATGTAACGGTATACATGCACATGATATGTAAAGAAATGATTGGGTCAGAATTTTTTCAACCAGTTGAAAGGAAAAAACTTTTCCATCCTCTTTTTGACATCTTATCTATATATAAATTATTATGTAATTTCATTATGTAAACGTTATTATGATAAAAATGGACTAGGGAACAAAGTTCCAAATTATGACAATGCAAGATATCGACGAAAAGGAATCCCGCGTGAAAGTGCAGTAAATTACGTAGATCATATATTCCATATCCATAGGTGTGTTCACATTGTTTTAGAGAAGATTGCATTGACGGCAAGTAGATCCCTCAATTTTACTTATAGGTATTTACATCCTTAACCTTTAAAAGTTGTAACATATTGATCCCCCGTTACGATTTTGCCTATTTTACTATCAAAAGGTTAGACTTTTCCTAAGACAATTACACTATCATTTTCAATTAACATAAAAGGTAAATAAAATAAATTTATCGTCTCCATCTCTCAACCCACTCTCATCTCCACCTCACTAAAGAAAGAGTGGAAGAGGGGGAAACAAAGAAGGGGTTTCGCAGCTGAGGCAATAGATCGAGTGGTGTCTTAAAACAAGCATTCGACATGACTACTTTAACTAAGTGGACAATAACGCTGGAATGTCTAATAGTTGGAGACTGAGCCGTCAACATAAAAATAGATTGAGGACTCAATTGCAAAGAGATATAGTTTGAGAATCTGTTTTCACAAATTTAATAATATGAGGACCTTTGTTGCAATTTCTGTGAACTTTAATGTCAAAGATTCTATGCCAGACCCTTTCACACTAGGTGGCGTTGATATAAATCTATCCCTTTCTCAGCCGATATTCGGCTCGCTTGAGTCTTAAGCCTCGGCTTTATATTATTGACCACTTGGAAACAATATTACGCATTGCATATTTTACTATTTTAGCTTTATTAATTCAAATCTGCATTTCGTGTATGGATAGGAACAATGAATTTTTTGAATGAGTAAATGATAAGATTTCAAAATTAATGACCATAGTGTTCTTCATTTAAAGTTCAAAATCTGTTTATTTCGTACCAATTAAATTGAGTTTCGTGCCAATTTAAAATCAGTATCAACTCAAATACAAGTTGTGGTTTAGGGCCCGTTTGAACTTCATTTTTATTGTAAAATACATTTTGAAATAGTATATTGATGGAGAATAAAAATGCACGAAAAACTTTTGGGTTGCGTTAATATTATTTTTATTGAAAATTTTGTGGTTGAAAAGAATGGAAAGAAAAATGTATTTTGAAAAATAAAATAGTTATTATTATTTTTTTAATAATTTACATAATTCAATACGTCGTTGTTGAGAAATGATCTATTAACTTCTTATACATCAATTAATTGATATGGAGCTTCCAATAAATTAAATTAGATTTATTGAATTGATGTTATATGTCATTATTGCTTAGTATAAGTTTAGTGACGGTGCATAATTAGATCATTTCTACGTCTATACAAACTCAAATTAATTATATCTTATCCAATATTTTTATTTATTTTTTATTTATATTTAAATAGTCACTTTTCATTATAGGTATTGTGATGTTTTCTCAAAATAAAATTTATATTGCCATCTATTCGGTTTAGTTAAAAATAAGATTTATAGTATATTTTTATAAAAGTTAAATGTAACGGATGTTAGAAAAGTTGATAAAATTTTAATTCCCATGAAATATGTATTTATAATTATTTTCTTATTTTTGACTTAAATTTTTATCAACTTTTTTAACTAATTCAATCGAGGGCGAAGTTGGTCTCCAATGAATGAATGGTACTTAAAATGTGAATTCAAATAAAGAAAGACAAATTAGATGTAATGTTTAATCAAGATTATCCTCTTAAGATATTATGTTTTTATTGTGCAATTCGGACACATTTTCTTAAATATTTCTTAAATATGTTTTTCCTATATATATAAATTTTGCTCGATAGATCTTAGGCCCTGTTTGACAGCCACTTTTTTCCAGGGAAAATGTTTTCCCAGCCGTCAGTACACGTGCTGATTTTCTTGGTTTTTGGTGGGAATGATTTTTCAGGCAGCCGATAAAATTTTTTTTTTCCTTTTTTTTAGTTACATTCACAAATGTTATAACTAATTGTAAAAAAAAAATTCATTTTAATGGACAATTTTCATGTAAAACAAGTCAAACGAACACTAAACTTTGATGGAAAAAATGATTTTGTCGGAAACATTTTTTTTTTTTTTTACTTTTTGGTAATGGAAACAAATTTTATAACCAAATGTGGAAAAAATTATCACTTTAATTAACAATTTTGATGCAAACGAAGGTCAAACGTACACAAAATTTAAAAATTTTCCATTCCTTGGGTAATCTTTTTTCAGATTCTGTCATTTTTTTTTTTTTTGACAATAGAAACAAATTTTATAATCAATTGTAAATTTTTTTTTTCACTTTAATGGACAATTTACATGTAAAATAAAGTCAAACGAGCATAAAATTTAAAAAAATTTCGGGTGGAAAATTATACCAATCAAACACACTTAATTGACAATTCCCTGCAAAATAATTTCTAGACAATTATTTTCCCGAAAAATGATTTTCTTTCCATCCATGTTCCACCCTTACAATCGAACGCACCCTTAGTCAATTTGGACAATAGAGTATGAGAAGTTTCTCCAAAAAATGATACTTAATTAAATATCTCATAAAGATAAAGATCAACTTTATTCAACTTGACTATTCATTCTTATCGCCTTTCAACATATGTTTACGTAATTTTTTTGACAGACAATACATATGAAATCACATGATTAGACACATGAAGTTAATTTAAAAAGTTTACCTCATCAAGATGACATATCAAGCAAAGATGACCATTGACTTCCTTTCTAGTAATATTTATCTTGCACGGCTAATCAATTCAAAATAATACTCCATTTCAAACCAGCTCATTTAGCCGAGCTGGTCCACCGACTCGACGCCACATTAACTTGAACCAATCCGAAATAGGTGGCGTGGGGCCCTCAGGGAAACGAGGTCAAACCTTCCATCAACTGCCAAGTAGGACACCGCACCCTTACCCACCCACACGCCTATATATAAAAAACAGACTCGTCTTTTGTGAAAATCTTCCTACAAAGTGCATACAAAAATTATACATAGAATCTATGGGAAATTGCTTCAGAAAAGAATCCTCAATGCAGTGGGGTGGTGAAGATTGGGGCTCTTTCGATTCCAAAACTCATACAAATCTATACAGCAACTCGATGGATATTGCAGAAGCAAAGAGCCCTTCTGCAGAAACAGGAAGAGAAGTCAAAATCAAAATCTCCAAGAAGCAACTGGAGGAGCTTTTAAGCAGGGAAAATAGTCAGGGACTATCAGTACAGCAAATTCTAACACAATTAATGAACGTCAGTGATGGATTTGAGACTCATCAACGGTCCTGGAAGCCTGCCCTGCAAAGTATACCTGAATGAGATTTTTGTATAGAAATTTTCTGTTGAAGAGTTTCATGNTTATTTATTTATTTTTAAATAATTTAAATTTATTCCTCAAAGAAATATTTTATTGGCTGGACACCTGGTGACAGGTCCTTCAATTGTTCCATTTTCTTTATTGCTTCTTTCATTATTTATTTGTAACTCCTTTTTTTAATTGATATGTACCTTATTTGCTGTTAGAACTCCAGATTATTTATAAGCTTAGCTATGTCATTTTTATGAGAATTGCTTTTGATGAAATTCAAAGGAATTGGAGATTATCCAAATCATTCGATCCTTCTCAATATTCATTTGAATCAACGAGATATTGGTCAAGATGTTATTTTCACTCTTTCGCAATTGATTTATAAGTTAAATAAAAAAAAAGTAGTCATATCTGTAAATTGTATAGCATTTACACGACAGAGAGGATCCTACATTAGCTAATTGGATGTCGATGATCTCAAATGAATTGAATCAATTAAATCAAACAACCTCTTCTAGAATTTGGACTCAATTCACTAACTCATCTTGGCATGTTTCTCTTCTTCTACATACATGTTAATTTATTTTTCACCTAAAGTACATTTTATATGAACCCTAGCCAAATCCCCCCTCACTCGCACAGTCGCACTTACTCTATCCCATTTTTGACAATCGAGTTGACATCTTAGCGTAAACGATCATTGTACTTTTCTTCAGGGACAATGGTCTTTGCACCCTAATAATGTGTTCCGACATACATGTGATGCTTAGATGAATAGGAAGGTGATCAGGCCACTCCATCGTTTTTAGGTCAACAGAAGTTAAAATAGTCTATTACGCTGTCTAGTAAATCGAATACTACACAAGGAACATGCATTCCGGGTTCAGGGTTGGGGTTCACATGCACGGCATAAAATATCATGTGATTAAACCAACGTAATATTCCACGAACATTTCCACAAAATATCATGAAATTCACATTTATTTCACATAATTAATTAATAACATGTCACGGGCACCTTACTAGGCTATAAGCAACAGCTTTGGCACCCAAGTTTAGTCCAAACATGTTGGCAACTACCCAGGCGGCAATAGGTAGCTCGATATTTGCCGAAGTATATACCATCAACAATGTAAAATATCCAGAACATAAATATAGGGAAAAGGAAGAAGTCAGGACAAAGGAGAGAGCTATAAGTTGAAATGAGCTTGATCATCGTTCTCTTGAAGTAGTCTTCATTTCTCGTTGTTTCTGCCATTATTTTGGGGCTGAATGGTTGTCACTTAGGCGACTACGCATTGGATCATAGCTATCGCCCAGGCTCGTCCATGTGTCAAGGTAACTATGAATCAGGCTGCACATATTTCATTTGATCTGAATCTGCACCAAAAATAATGATAAACCTTGATAAAATCCTTTGCTCACAATTGCCAACTTCAGAAAACATCCATAAACACAAGTTCGTGCATCAGGAATAGGGACAATAGAAATAAAAGTTGGGGAAATTGGCAACAGAGGTCCCCAGCCTTTGCATAAATTTGAATTTGGGGTCCCCATTCTCTAATAATTCTAGGACTTGGATGGTCACATGATTAGCAGTTGACATGTTGTTCGAGGGGCATACAAAGGAAAAGAAACGGAACAACAAACTAAGCCTTTTTTCTTAAATATATTTGGGATTGACTGAATGAATCCTTTTCCGCTCCCTTCAGTGCATTGCAAAAGAAAAGAAAAATTATCTTCTTCCCCACCTCCACTGCACCCCAGTCCAGCCCTCTGTCCACCACACCCCGTTCAGCAAGGCAGCAACCCCTGCCACTGTCCCCTCAGAAAATATTATGGAAAGTCACTGTCTTCCTGCCAAAAACTGATCTGATCACCAGTCCATCCCTCTGTCCCCCACCCCCGTTCAGCAAGGCAGCAACCCCCTGCCACTGTCCCCTCAGAAACTATTATGGCAAGTCACTGTCTTCCTGCAAAAACTGATCTGATCATTGGTTATCGGTCCTGTTGCGACGAGAAAATATTAAATATAGCTAGCTGATTGGAGATTTTGTGAGCTTACATGTTAACCCTCAAACAATACATTGTGCAAATCACTTGATTATTTAACGGTTCTTTTTGGATGGACCCCATAAGTGGGACCCAAGTATCAAGAAAAATTAGTGGCCCAAATGCCAACTTATGCAAAAGGTTGGGGACTTCCGGTTTCAATTTCCCTGAAAGACAACTGCATTCTGATTTGAAGGTTGTCTAATCCATGCTTTGATTCACTTTATAATCAAAACACTTGGAACTGCCGCTACCTTCAAAATGATCATAGAATATAAACTGCAACCTTCAAAAAAAATAACCTAATAGACCATCTGATTGAATCATGACTTGAAGCCAAAACACCTGAACTACCGCTACCTGCTTGGTGACATTCTTCTACAATCATGACATGAAGTAAAAACTATATGTCTAAGAGCTGAATGATAAAGGGTATGCTTACACATCAAATATCAAGGAAACAAGCAGGACAACTGACAATTTCTTTTCCCACTTTTAACTTCTATTACACACAAATAAAAGAACAATTGCAGAAATAATCCGACTTTCTGTAATGCATTTTACTGATTAACCATAAACTCGTATAGCTTATACCTTGGTACTTGGGAAGATGCATTTGATGTGGAGTCGAGAGAGATCCTGTAGCTGCTTGAGAATATCCTGCTGCACTCTGAATGGTGTCCTTAAACAAGCATACAAGGGAATAAACAATTATGAAGTCGGATGATAGCAGATCAAAGGTGCCACCAATAACAAAAGCAGAAGATGAGAAAAAACACAAGCAAAGACGAACAAATAAGAAAAATTGCATCGAGCAAGCTTTTTGGTTGCACGAGTATAAGAGAGATTATTTTGTAGTTTCTTCACTGATGTGCATATGATAACGTTCATACATGTAAGTGCGTGCTTGGAGAATATAAAGCATTATAATTTCGACATGCTCGGTCATGGGTTGTGTCTTACTGAAAAGGGATACACACAAACAAGAGGCCCCGCTCGTCCTGCAATAACCTGACAGCATCGATCGGTAAAATATCAGCCACCCCATTGCAAAACATTTGATTTCTAATACAATGATATTGCAGTAAATAAGAGTGTAAACAACCATACTACATACATTTTGAGAATTTGGATACACATAAGCAGTCCCAGCTTGGAGGTTATGATATTGACTGGCATATCTAACTGGTTGTGTCCTGCTTAAAACTTGGCAAACAACCTACACATGGAAAAAGAAACAATGATAAATATAGCAGCATCAAATATTTTAGAAACACCGTAGCTTTCAGCACATTCTCTAAAACAGAGAGATAAAGGTAATGAATAACCTAAAACAAGTGTGTCATTGAACAATGAATTGGCTAGGGAAGAATGAGATGGGAAAAGAATCAAAACGATACATCAGAGTTTTGTAAAAGGAAATAACAACAATTTAATGATTAATGTTTTCGTGAAAAATAGAAGTAAATTTGAAATAGGAAAACAACAATCTATAGTTATTTTAAAACAACAATGCTTACAGGTTGGGCATATGGTGCATCACTGCTGCCATTTCCAATGATGACATCATTGTATGGGACAAACGTCACAGGCAGAGAAGAATGAGGAGCAAACAAACTGATGTCATCTTCGTTTTCTGCAGTAGCAATGGGTACCATGGCGTAGACTACACTTGCTTCTGTTTGCACTGCAGGAGTCACTGATCTATGGTGCAATGGCGAGGGAGAAAATATTTTTGCTTCAGGATTGAGCTTGAATTCCTAAACAGGAGGGAATACTGGCTTGTGAACTAAATAATGAGCTCAACCTATTACAGTTAACATTTTTTGTTTAATTAACTCAATAATGTGCTCAACTTATAACAGTTCAACTTTTTTATGCTTTATTAACTCAAGTTCTTATATCTATATTCTCAAACTCAATAACTGAACAATTACAAATGTTCCTGAAAATTTTGAAAGAACATTTGATAAAGGATAGTAATTCTGGCTGAATGAACAACAGAACTTGAGGGTCTGCTTGGGAGTTTCGGCGTACCGTTTATGAGTGTATTTTAAAGTACCGATTTTGAGTGTTTATGAACAGACCGGTTATGAGCGGTTTTAGTAGAGGTTTTTAAAACAGTCTAACCCATGTTTAGGAGTTCATTATCGACCAATTCTGAGTTTTTTTTAAAAAAATAAAGTTACATAATTTTGAATTTATGATTTCTTTGTATGAAATTTTTTACTTATAAGTAATATTTTACTTATATGTAATTTTTTTTACATATATGTTAATATTTAACTTAAAAAGTTAAATAAAGTTAAATATTTACTTAAAATTTTATGTTAGTATTTCTTAGTTATATATAAACTTTATAATTATAAGTTAATTTTGTACTTTTAAAATAATTTTTACACATAATCGAATTTTTTACTTATAAGATTTTTTCACAAATATAATTTTTTTATCTTATAAGTATTTTTTTAATTATAATATAGTTTTTTTGCTTATAAATAGTATTTTTATTTATAAGTTAGTATTAAACAAAATAAGTTTGTTGGAAATAATTGTTTTAGAAAGGATAAAATTAGAAGAGAATTTGAGAAATGACCAAAAACCACCAATTTGATGGGTTGAGAGAACCGATGAAATTAAAACTCCCAAGCAGGCCCCAAGTATCCAACATCACAAACACCAAGATCTTTGCAAATGTGGTTTAGGGTTTAGATAAATTCAAAATAATTTATAAACTGGGAACTCATATGTTAGGTAAAAGCTTAAATCATCCCGAAAATCCACTTTACCTTAGCAGTTCTATTTAAATTGGAACCTTTTAGAGGCACTGATGGAGTAGAAGCCGAGGATGAACTGGGGTTTGACTCCGAAGACACAACCACGGTCGGGGTCACAGCTACAGAAACACTAGATGAAAGAGCATCTGGACTTCTGGGTTTTTCTGAAGCAGGCCTTTTATGATTCTGATTCTCCAGTTTAACCATGGTGGCAGCATGACTACCAGAAGATAATCCTTTCAGAGTATTTTGCATATCCATTTCCCCCAACATAATCTCAGCAGCAGTTGATTGAGATTGACAAGCATCCACTATATGCAAAGAAATAGAACTATATGGAGCAAGAATAAAAGAAGTACGGAACGTCTCATAAAGTAGAAAATCAATCAGCTTAGCCCAGTAAAATGTATAGATAGATAGGAGAGCAAGGATAACACTCATAGCATGACCCGAAACTAAGTTTCTCATTGCTGGACACTTATACTAGTAAGGATGCTAGCATTCAAACAGCAACTAACAACATCCACATTCAGATGCCATCTAGCAGAATGCTTTGTTCAAATATCCCCTTTAACTACCAAGCTTTGTGTATCCACCATGCTGCAATTTAGCTTAACAAATCCTGGTTAATCTCTGATAAATGGTAGTTGCTACAACTCGGCTGTCTTCTTCGGGACCAAGACATTGTTTCAATTAGACAAGCAAAAAAAAAAAAATCAAGTTTCATATCGACCAAAAAATACATAATAATACCAAGGAAATCTTTTCTGCTTCCCATACAAAATCAAGCAAAGCTTCCATTCATCACAGACCAAGTAATTATAGATTATCTGCAATGCAATTGCAATTCCAACCTAGGTTGTGGTACCAGGGAAGTAGTGCAATTTATTGTATGCAAACCCTCATTTCTTTTATAATATTCCGCAGTTACAGGTTTAAATTCAACAAGGTGATAATATAATGCTTTAACTTTGGTCACATTTCCCAACCAACCCTTTTCCTCAACTCATAATCCACAAATATTTAAATTCCCTAAATCGATAGAGGTAATGTTCTTGGGTGATATTCACAGCCCCTGAACAGACCAAGAGCAAGCCCCTGGTTGGGCCACATTAAAATTTTCATTCTCATTTTTCTACTCATTTTCAACCATACATTCTTTAATAAAATAATATTTTCCATCACATCAATAATTTTTCCTTCTTTTTCAACCACATATTTCCCATCATATCACTTTAAAAAAATGCATTCTCTCATTTTAATGTGCATCAAACAAGCACTTCAAATACTATTGAAAAATAACAGTTTGCTTTGAATATAATCAGTGAAGCAAAAAGTCCATTCAAATTTAGGGCCTGTTTGGTACAAATTCTCATTTTCTACAGTAAATCAATTCTCATTTTCAACCATACATTCTTTAATAAAATAATATTTTACATCACATCAATAACTTTTCCTTCTTTTTCAACCACACATTCTCCATCAATCCACTATTCCAAAATATATTCTTTCAAAATAACATGGTTCAAACACACCTCAAGAATGTCTATCTTGCCCTCAAGACATTTTCTCAAGATTTTGGTGAGCAGAAACAAAAACGCAATTCGATCTCTTAAATTTTCCTCCCAATATCATTTTTAGTTCCAAGAGAGACCCTTGTTTGCCCTACAAAGTACCAGGCATCCAAAATATGTTATCAAATTATTGCAACTAATAAGAAGTACGAAAGAAACTCACAACTTAAACTTGAGCCTCGAACTTCACAGGTCTGCAAAATAAAGAGAGATGAATTATGCCAACCGACAAAGAACTAGAAAAATTAAAACTTTCACTAAATGAATTGGAATATTCTGATATTAACATACAATTTTTCCATCTTGAAACTCAGGGTTCTCTCCGTGATTGCTCTGTTTCCCCCCCGAGACATCCCCAATTTGTCTGGCAATGATAAACCAAAGGAATTTGTGGATGATGATGTAAACTTACTTAGAAAAAAAAAATGAAACTCGAAAAAAGGGAAAACTATGTTGAAAGTACAAGAACATGAGGACAAAGAAGGAAAAAAAAATCTAGGATTTTGAAAAACTAGAACAATCTCAAGAACAAAGAAGAAAAACAACAATTCATGATAAAATAGGTAAGCATGCCAACATTAGATAGACTTAAAGAGTGACCAGATGACAATAAAAATAAATACAAAAAATACAAAAAAAGGATCGCTAATTGATGCATTTCGCAATGTCCCAATACAACACAAGGTACTCATGAATATTGTGAAACTAAGGGTAGAATATGCAGTTTACAGATGAGTTAGTAAGAAGAAACCACACAAGATAAATGCCAAGATATCCATTCAACAGGCAAAAGAACTCAAGTTAAATGCACGACAACCACAATAAATACACAAGATAGAAGTAAAAAAGAAAAGGGAAATACAAAGTGAGGAAATCAATATACTACAAAATCTACCTTCCATCAACCAAAACTATATGTGCATCTCCCATCTGCAACAACAGAAAAGGTGAAAAAAAATATTTAGTGGGTGTTTAATGGGGATTAAAATTAGATTTTCAATAAATTGTGATAGAAATTTTTGAAATGTGTGGTTGAAAAGTTGTGGAATCCACAAAGATGTAGTTAATATTGATTGTTTGACTTTGACTTAGATTAAAATCTGATTTTAATCCGAAACAAACAGGGCCTTAATAAGCCCCTCCAATTTAGATTCTAATTTATCATGTGATAAGTACAATAGAAATTTTTGAAATGTGTGGTTGAAAAGTTGTGGAACCCATGAAAGATGTAGTTAATATTGATTGTTTGACTTTGACTTAGATTAAAATCTGATTTTAATCCGAAACAAACAGGGCCTTAATAAGCCCCTCCAATTTAGATTCTAATTTATCATGTGAAAAGTACAATATGCATAGCATGAATAAGTATAAAGGCACATATAGCATGCAGATGTCCTCTGGTACTATACTACATCCCGTCCTGTAAAAATAAATTGCAATTATTCTTCCAGTGGGTAATAAACCATTCTTCAATTTAAGGTTCACCTTTCCAAAATCAGTGCCATCTGATCTCTCATTTTCTTCTTCTGTGGATCTGCTCAAGTGACTTTCCAGATCAGATGCAAAACTATGAGCAACATCATTCTCTGAGCTGGCTGAAAACCTGCATGTAATTTGGAGTTTAAGAATATGATCCCTACTAATTGTTTCCATAAAATTAAAATGCTCTCAACAATCTAGCATCTCAAGCAACAAGCTTAAAGCCTCATCAAAGATGCTATACTGCAGCCGGTGTATGACAGCCTATCAACAGATACCGAGTGGCATGATGAAAATGAATCTTGTAATAATTGCCTATCAGCTAAGTATTAATGTAGTGGACAGTGTTGTGGATATAGCACCTTGTCTCACTTCGGTGCTTTTTATCTCCATTGGACTCGCTAGCTTTTGCCTCCCTCTCTGGACATTCATTAGTGCCTGCAATGGCCTCTAAACCATCCCTCCTTAGATATCTAGAAACTCCATTTGAAGGAATAGGAACTTCCTAAACATAGGCCAAAATTTATTACAAAAATTTGCAGTCAGATTTTAATCCAACAGGAAATGAAGATTAAATCAACAAAAGCACATGGACATGCCTTAGCAACAACTTGTACAAGATCTTCTGACGAAACTATAAGTGTTTCTATCATACTCCCATTTGCAACATTTGAAGCCCAGTTCCCCTTTTTAATCATCCTCGCGTTCTTCAGCACTATAGCTGGACCAAACATATATAAATCAATTAAAAAGGTAACGAGGCAATAACCCAATAACTCTAATCATCATCACTGTGCCTGGCAAGTGAGCAGTTCTATAAATTGAAAAGGTACTTAATTTACAATTTCTTCAATTTGTACAAATAAACAATTGCCATAACTTTTACCAATCCTACGGTAGAATATGATAAATTAACATAATCCAAAACTCAAAAATCTAGACTTTTAATTTAGCCCACATCCATTAAATCAAAACTATTTTTTATCGAACTCATTTTCAACCCTGGATTTACACACTAAAATATTTTTACATAAATCCAAAACTTTTTACTACATTTTAAGTGCACATTCTCCCATAGAAAAATAACTATTCCAAAACTCATAAAAAAAAAAACTCATTAAAATGGATGTCAAACAGGGGCTTAATCAGCTAATAAATTATTATTGAGTTAACTGCGTTGGAAAAAACCAAAAAAATAAAAAATCGAAGGTCAATCGGCAAAATTGAAAAACAAATCGTCACAAAACAAGTAAAAGTAACCATAATTTCTCAACATAGCCAGAACCCATAAAGGATGAGAAGTGATAAACAAAACTCGGGAGGGATTCTTCGGAATTTCAATAGTACCATAGTCCTTGTCGACACGGGCGGTGTAAAAAATTCCAGAATAAATGGAGCCATCCTTTGCATGAACATCCACTGGGAGCTCAACGATGCACATGGTTGCCAATAGCAAAGCGTCGCTCGTTGTCGGTGAAGCCGCCATCGCGTTGTTCTCTTCCTCCCTAAGGCCGTCGTTTCTGAAACCCATTTCTCCCTGTGAGTAATTATATGTACACATATATGATCGAGTTTGAAATTGAATTGTTAACAAGACTTGGGATTTTAGTGAAGAATGGAAGGACTCTTTTACTTCTTTGGAAACGTTATGGTCCAAATGAACATGACGCAATTTCCTAACAAGGAAAAAGGATGAGTGTTTATGTGATTTTCGTTTTGAATAGTGTATTTCACCCTGGTACTCTCATTGTTTGGTCAAAGCTCCACTTGGCACGATTATCATGAATAGAGCTTTTTAATTTTTAGTTAGAGCGTGTTTGGGTCGAATTAAAATCTGATTTTAATTCAAATTAAAATCAAACAATCAATATTAACTACGTCTTTCATGGGTCTTTCACGTTTTTTCAACCACACATTTCAAAAACTTTTATCACTATCCACTAAAAATTTAATTTTAATCTCCACCAAACACACTCTAATACTTTGCGTGCTTTGTCAACCATCAATCTAGATAGTACTCATGTGTCGTTCTTAATTATTTTTTTCACCGAGCCCATCACTTAACTCCACCAATATTGGTTTTGTACACCAGTAGCTCTAAATAACATTAATCATTTAATTATTTTGAAAGAATAATGATATCCCGTATCATTAGTTTAAAACAAATATCTACATGGTTCTAATACGGTATTAAATGAGATGTATAATTAAATGAATAATTTGATTTTACCTTTCATTAAACATACTCCCTCCGTCCCAATTATATAGGTTATGTTTAATTTTTCTCTTGTCCCAAATATATAGGTATGTTTCCTAATGTAAAATATTTTGTTGTGTTCCTTTATCGATATATCCTTATTAAATCTTCTCCACTTAATATGCTAACTTCTATAAATCATCAAAATACACATATTTCTAATTTAATTATTTTGAAAGAATAATGCTATCTCGTATCATTAGTTTAAAACAAATATCTACGTGGTTCTAATATGGTATTAAATGAAATGTATAATTAAATGAATAATTTGATTTTACCTTTCGTTAAACCTACTCCCTCCGTCCCAATTATATAGGTTATGTTTAATTTTTCTCTTGTCCCAAATACATAGGTATGTTTCCTAATGTAAAATATTTTGTTGTGTTCCTTTATCAATATATCCTTATTAAATTTTCTCCACTTAATATGCTAACATCTAGAAATCATCCAAATACACACATTTCTCACTTCTTGAAAACATGGAACAACTTTCATTTCTTCTTCAAATTATTTATTAGTTCCAACAATAATTTATTTTTACATTAGTTTAAAACACATATCTACGTGGTTCTAATATGGGTATTAAATGAAATGTATAATTAAATGAATAATTTGATTTTACCTTTCATTAAACCTACTCCATCCGTCCCAATTATATAGGCTATTTTTAATTTTTCTCCTGTCCCAAATATATAGGTATGTTTCCTAATGTAAAATATTTTGTTGTATTCCTTTATCAATATATCCTTATTAAATTTTCTCCACTTAATATGCCAACTTCTAGAAATCATCCAAATACACACATTTCTCACTTCTTGAAAACATGGAACAACTCTCATTTCTTCTTCAAATTATTTATTAGTTCCAAATTTTCAATAATAATTTAGTTTTACATATTGAAAATTAAATCGAGGTAAATAAGGAAAGATCTTCGCAAAAATTAATTTTTCAAAGACATTATCCGTATGAAAAACAAAATAAACATATATAATTGAGACGAGGGAGTATTACTTAGCGCCACATGATTGGTGTTGTAGCACCACTAATTTAAAATATTAATCTAGGTGATATTAACGTGTTATTATGTCCTTTTTTTATCTTCATTTTTTTAAAATACATTTTTTTTTCTTTTCATCTTAACTACACATCCTTTAATAAAATAATATCACACGTAACCCATAACTTTTTCCTTCATTTTTAACAACACATTCTCCATCAATCTATTATTTCAAAATGCATTCTTAAAAGGGGGAGGTAGGGGGCTCAAACAGACTATAAATGAGAAGTATAATTAAATGGATCATTTATCTACATTTCATTGAGATTATTACTTAGCGTCGCCTAAAATGGTGTTTTGACACTAGTGGTGCTATATGAACATTAGTTGATATTAAATAAACTGTATAATTAAATAATTTGATATTAAGCCACCGTTTGGGCCACCTTATTTTCTCATTAAAATAAAAAATATGACCGTTATCCATCACATCAACATTTAAATTCAAATTTTCTATCTCTTGTGTGGGCCTCAATAACGGCTATATTTTTCATTCTCATTCTACAATAATTTGGCTCAAACAGGGGCTAGATATCCAACTGTATTAGAAAGATACAGAGATGCTAATTGGATATCAGACACAAAAGATTCAAAGTC